TAATTACCGATGAAATGTGATTCCGTTTGTTTTGTAATTAGATGTTTTGCTGTCCCCAAACCACCGAATGGAACAGCACGCCATTCTTTATTACAATAAATACAGAATATTTTTGGAATATACGGAGACGTACACACAGGTCGTTGTTGGCGTTGTCTATATTTCAGTGCAAACGAGAGTTGATATTTATAAGTGATGTATCACTGATGAGTTCCCAGGAATATATGGCCCTTATTTCGTCTCTATTTCTGGTTATATACTCGATGACTAAATAGAACACGTACATATACATTCTGAAATAAAGCCGGTGTATCTGCCACTGGACCCAAGCAAAATTAACCGTATTAGTACGGGAAAAGTTTTAATTTAAGCTGAGGTAATATCGCCTCTTAAGTAATGCATACTTGTGCTAGGGATTCCCGCTCCTCCGTCATTCATAGTTGCTTGAAAACTGTTTTGCGTAAATATCTTCTGTCACTATCCTAGTCTGCAACGTGTATATATTCTTTAGTATGTATACCTATACAAATATGTATACTAATCGTTATTTATTATTTAGTAAAATATAATGTAAATTTTTATTTACACAATTCAAATGTTGTCGTTAACACCCGGCGTCTCCCGCTTTAGTCTTCCTCTACTTCAAAGGTTGTCTAGAAGAGATCGCTCTTAGCGATAAGGCCGCCTTTGTCCATATTAGTTTTAAGTTGTATATGTACAGTTTTTGTTCTTGTGTACGAGTAATGACTGCCACTGTGGCCAAAGGTTACCGTGCCGGGACTGCCACGTAGAGGTCCTGGGTTCGATTTTCGGGTCGGGAGAAATATGTGTATGGCCTACATTTATTTCTCTCGTGGGTTTGGGTGTAATTTGTAGTTGTCTATGTGTGTGTCCATGGCACCCGCGACACAGGGTTTCCCTAGTGCGGAGCTATGTTAAGTGTGTGCGTTATTATAATAAAGAGTATATCTTTTACCCTCTATACATCTACCTTATATTAATTGCAAATCGAACAACACGTAAATGCCTTAGGCGCTCTACTTATTCTAAAAAAAAATTTGATACATTGGATATCTGTTTCTACCTACCAGAATCGAATTGTGAGACATTTTCCTGGCATTACACAAATCTTTTATCGCCTACGGTTATGAAGTTCAATACAAATGTCAATTAAACCGTTAAATAAAAAAGGTTTAAGTCGCAACACATTAATGTGTTTAACTGTTCAATGTGGAACATTTTTTGCGTAACATTATGGTGGGTAAATTGGTCTTTGTATGGTGATTATATTGTGAATAATATCGCAGTTTGAAGTCTTTTTCCATTAGCAATTTTGTTCTATAACTGAAGAGGACAGTTATATTGAATATTCACAGTCAACTAATAAACACGAACATGAAAATAAATAGTCTTGATAGAAGTCGAGTCTGTTCATATTCAAAATTAGCCACTACGACAGTTTTAACGGGAAATATATGTATAATAAAAGTTATTTATACAGCTTCTATGTTCTTTCTATCAATTATATGTTCAGGTATTATTGTAAATGATAAATAGCACCTGTATGTAAACACTTTATTATACGACAAAACAAATTTTTAACAAAGAAATAAAACGTTGTTGTACAAAGGCTTATCCCATACAGGGATTTCTTCCAGCTAACCTTTGAATAATTGAAAGAAAAGTTGGCTCCTAAGTCGGCAATGAAATCTAAAAAAAAATAAAATTAATTTTAATGCTATATACTGAATTACAAGAATAAATTTATTATATCAAATGTACACACGAATACATATCAAGGATACTAATACATATAAAATATATAGTAAAATGAATGTACAAAATAAGACTATAAATAACTATGTGAAATTTTCCTATTTTGTTATAAGATACCAAAGGACTGGACGAACAAGTCGTGCGTGAGATGGTAAGCGACACGCCTGTCTATAACAGTTGCAGTGCCACTCAAAACTTTAAATCGCAAAGATCTGAGGGGCGCTGCCACTGCGCCTGTCGCCCTGAGACATAAGTTTACAAGTCCAATTTCACCAGCACCCTTACCCCCTAGAATCACAAGAATTTCCTAACCATACTTGTCAGAGGAATCGCTTCACGAATTTGACGATTTCTATGCCTATTTGTTTACGTCATACGTATATGGTAATGATATTTTGAATTAGATTTAAATATAATATGATAGTTACGAAATTACCCAAGAGGTTGACTAAAAACTGTTTGCGCGCCTAACGCTTTGTTAATAGCAAACATACAGAAGGCAACTTTAGCCTAAAGATTTTTTATAGGCCTAAGAAGACAAGAAGATTATGATTTACATAGAAGGTCTTATATTACAAGTCCCTCTTTATTGAAACTACCTGAAATGTTCAACACGACTAAATTGCTTTTCAAGATAATGAAACATTTTCTATGTAATTAATTAGATATGTTCTCTATGCAGGATAAATGGCTTATATTAAAAAGTTCAGTTTACACGTCTACCACACTAACTGGAAACAAATTAAAGTTATAAGTGAACCTGTCCCATTCAGTAAAGTAATGGTGTCGTTGTATACGCCGTTATTTTTTCTCTGCATTAGCTACAAAGCTGTATAAAGTTAACTACAAAAACAATACTTTGGCTGCAATTTTCTATCCTAAATTGCTACCCGTAAGACCACCTGTTGTATACCTTAGTGAAATCAAATTCAAATACATCTTTATCTACATTTGAAATCATCGCACCAATTAAAACTATACTCATTCATAAGGCAGATTCCCCTGAGATTTTTTTTATATTTTATAAAAAAAGAAACAACAATTTCATTAACTGCCTCCGTGACCGAACTTACATTACTTTTGCGCTTACATTTGTTTCTCTCATGAGTTTGGATGTAATTTGTGGTTGTCTATGTTTGTGTCCATGGCACCCGCTACACAGGGTTTCCCTCGTGTGGGGCTATGTTGAGTGTGTACGTTATTATTATATTATTATTACGATATAAGATATTCTTTGGTTGCACGCCCTTATCTAACAATTAAATTTCTATCCTACGGTATCCTGGAAGAAATTGCTACTAAGCAATAAGGCCGGCTGTTGTACATTGGCTTACTCTTTTACTGTTATGTGCTGTCATTGCAATTTTTAATGCGCAATAAAGAATATTTCATTCATTCATGCAATGAAAAATTTTAAAATTTCAAAAAGTTATCAATTGTTTCTAATAATATATCCGCCTTTTATTGTGACCAATAAAGTTTAACAAATCAATAAATATATCATTAGACAGATTTAAGAACTGGAAGTACACAATGCGTTCATATCACCTAAATAATCATTTACTCCTTAGTAAGCGTAGTTTTTATTGTTTGTCTGTACGGTCATTGTAATATTAATTTGCAATAAATAAATTTAATTCGTTCATTTCATTCAATCTACAACACGAGAAATATCATATAGCCCAACGATATCTATAATACTACCATATAAGTTTCTGTGTATTTCTCGAAATTGGTAGAACAATGATATTGGAAAAATACATTATTTTTATTCTATATAACTCTTTATTTGTTTAGGGGCTTTGATCATTATTGAACATGTCAACCCCATTAGGAAAATAATGCGTCATAAAACTCAAGTGTTGTCATTGACTTACAATTATATGGACGTCGGGTCCGCGCTAAAAAGTGTCCGAACCGTAGATGTAGTATATCCATAGATTGGCCCTGAAGTATTGGAGGCAAGACCAAAACAAAAATACATCTGTGTGCGTATAATGTGCATGTGTGCAAGATGAATAGTGTTGCGCACACCAATGAATTTCACTTTAATATCGATTAACATATTACACCGGCATTTCACTTCGTCGTATTCACCAAAACGTCTTATCGCAATACGCCGAGACGTTAATTAACTAATTAATTTATGATTCTTAGAAATTTAAGACATTATTTTTTTGTACATTAAATAGAAATTTTCGTTTTAATGTAGACAAAAAATAATGCACTAATGCAATATTAATTAAATACAAAATACTAAAACCAGAAATTTCTGATTCAATAATATTAAGTATGAAGATGATTTCGGCTGTATGTAAGCCACGCCTTTGCCTTTCTTTTTTTCAGTTAATGACATCTCGATAACATATTATCGATTGCGTCAATCTCTATGAAAGTGGGGTTATGAATTTCAGAAATTCATGTATTTGATATATTTTTTAATTGAATTCGTATACATTTGGTTTATTAATGCACTTGAATGGTATAATTTTACGGATATATTTATGTAAAAAACTTTTGTGGTAGTGCTTTTATACAGTTAAAAATTTAAATAGTACTTACATGTGAAATTTACAATTCTGCGAGTTTTCCTTTTTAGATGAGTTACATCCGGGCACTGAACACGTTACCATTACTAATAAACGTCTGTTTAACACTATTTCACATTTTAAAACCAATTATTTTTCAAAATTAAACGAAATTATTTCGTTGTCAGCTGACCCTAGGTTCATACAGGCTCATAGCGTATAATAAAGTGGTCTTGTCTACCCATCTCGCTCTAACATACGTGTATACTAACGCTCTTTCACTTGCATTGCCAATCTATGGGTACCTATATACTAAATCTATGGTCCGAACTTATAGGGCGTTAAAATCGTATACAGAGCGTCCTTCACGCTTTAGTCTTCGTTTGTTCGACTGACAGCGAAGCAAGCAAAATTAGACAGTACTGCGATGATATTACAATTTAAATTCAACGTTTTAGCTTTTTCATATTCCTTTACATGTCACTACGTTTAAATAAGTTGACTTGGGACATTTTTTTCGTGGTTTTTGTATTAGACCCGACGTTCATTTATTTGTAAGTCAATGAGTGTTGTACAAAATATTCGTGACTCCGACAAAATGGATTGAAACCACCCAACATAACCGCACCCTGATAGGTTCCATCCGAACACATTCTCGAAGAACGCCGTAATAAGTAGCTTTTTCTTATCTTTCAGATCCTGAGTGTCGCGCTGCTAGCTTCCCTGGTGACATGTGAGCCTCCAGTACCACAAGGGTATAACTACAGGAGACCGCAGGCTTTCAGTCCACCTAGCCCTAGCTATTCGGCTCCAAGTACAGGTATTATAAAAATATGTTTATCCCACATTTTTGGGGTTAATTAATAGTTTAGTTACTCGATGATAGATGGCGCTCCTAATACTTAAAAATAAGTCGAAACTGTTTTTTTAATGAGCTGTAAAGAAATGGCCCAGAATTTAGGCTGAGGCTTTTATTTCTTAGACTCAATTCAAGTTGCTTTCAATAAATGACATAATCAGCTGAACAAAGAACACAAACTCACTCAGCTTTCGCGTTGGTAAGTGATCCAGCCAGTACAGTAAATTGGAGGGAAAAAGGTCGCTACACTAATGATAAGTAGTAGTAGAGCTAATTGTAAGATAGTTCGTCGTAGGATGCATCTATTTCTGCCACCAAGCAGTCGTGTGAACAAGGGTAGGGTGCTGGTGACACTACAGGCAATATGGGACTTGTCAACTTATAATGTATTAGGGTGACGGGTGCACTGGACTCTCAAATCTTTACAATTTAAAGGATGTCAAAATGGCACGTCATTGGTAGACGTATCTCTTACTACCAGGCGGCGCACTACTCGTACATCCCGTGTCAATTTATATTATATTAAAAATGAAATAATTAAATGTCTATAATATTATTAGACCAAATTTGTCACCTCCATTATAGCAAAGAAAACTTAAAATTCCTAGATATTCATAATATAATAATATGGTGAAATAAAGAAAACTTTCTTTATTTGAATTCATTATACTGCCATCTATTAACGAATAGCGGAATTACTAGCAATAAACACTTCAACATTTTACCATTGGGCAAAACATTGGGCAAACAATTTCAAACATCTATTTGCCACGTTTTATTGAAATCGGTTACCGGAAAATGCGTAGTTTACCACCCATACAGGTGAAATATTATCTTCAAATTTAAATGGGACTAATACTGAGGTACCTACCCTCTTTCTAACAAAAAAAGAATCAACAAAATCGGTTTACAAATGCCGCCAAAAAAAAATACAGTCTAATTGAGAAGAAGGTTGTCACCTTTTTTTGAAGCTTTTAAAAAATAAACTGTGGTGTCTACCTGATTGGTTTTTTACTTTCCTTATTTTTCTTTTATTTATTTTTTTATTCGGTTCTCAATCCTAAATTAAATAATCAGGGGCACAATCCTAAAAAAAAAGTGAAAGCGTTTGATGCACATAATGACTCACTAACTGAACTTCGACACACGCTACTCCGACAACATGTTACATCGACATGATTTTACTCAGACATTACGTTACTTCGACAATATGTTACTTCGACATTACTTTACTGTGTAATGATATGAAAAGAATGTACCGTTCTTGATGTGAACACAATAATCAATTTCATTAACAAAATGTGCATAATATGAGAGTAATAAGAAATTCGAAGGAGAATACAATAAATAAAACAAAACCTATCGCAAAGTCAGGGCTGGCGGTTGTAATTTCTGAGATATAATTCATTTTCAGCATACGGCCCGCCCACAAACTCCTACCTTCCACCATCATCAGGACAGAACTACCAATCCGGCTTTGGCCACACTGGCCAATACAACGGCTTTGGCCAAGGCAACAACGGCCATTACGATGATGGCCACAATCATGGCCACGGAGGACACGGTCATGACAGTGAAGTAGTAAGTTTTTACAATTTTTCTTATATAAGTATATGCGGTAAGGGAATGCTTATCCTTTAGAATTTTGAGATAAAAATGGCGGGATTGTACACCAATACATTTTTAATGTTCACTAAATAAATAATTGTCAAGTTTGGTTTCTATTTTCAATAATCTAGTAAGGAGTATTAAAAAAACCGACCTCAAAAGTCATTCATCCCCAAGTTTGCGACCCTTAGAGGTGGAATGTTTTCTTCAATATTAAATGTGACCACTGCTGAGGTACCCTCTTTCCAACAAAAAATAATCATCAAAATGGATTCACAAATGCCGGAGATATCGCGTAACATACATACAAGAATACAGTCGAATTTTGAACCTCCTTCTTATTGAAGTCGGTTAAAAAAACATCAAAGCAAAAGTAAAAACATTATTTTATTTATCTATTTATATCTATTTACAGTAGATTGTTACACGTACATATAACTCTTAATTAATGCTATAATTTATCTCTGGAACAGTTAATTCTTTTATCGCAACCCCGTTATCAAAACTCAATAATTGGTTTCATGTAATAAATGTATAAAGACGTCAGGTAATAAAGAAAAACTTCATTACCGCCCCTTTGGACTCGCCCGTGATTTGGCACCATTGTCTTTATACAAAATATAAATAACGTAAGAATGAACAGGTTTCAATCTATAAATATCATTATTTACCGAATAATATATATCACCGTAATCGCCATATACAAAACCGTGAGGGTAAAAATCTAAATCAGCAATTTTAACTGCAGTACCATTAATACAATTCAATTCGTAGACACTGCTTTCTGTAATACCATAAGTCTTGCTGCCTTCTACTATAAAATGGTCCACTGAAGACAAATTATTATTCTTAACAATTTCCTGGCCTCTTACAGCACAAAATACACCACATAACGAAAAAAAATGAACGTTTTTGTCATCATCAATGTTAAAAATTATCAAATTACCCATACCCGTACTACCAGCTTTGACAGCCGTGGCACCATTATTAAAAACTTTATACAAGTTGTGATCGTTTGCATCTATAAAGTAAATGGCGTTATCTCTTATAACAAGTTGCAAAATATTCATATTATACAAGCCTATATTTACAGCTACGTTTTCTAAAGGTTCATATTTATATAGACCGTCTTCAGAACCGAAATATACATCACCTGATGCTGTGTCGACAGCTGTGGCCCTGTTGTTCTGGATGCCGGGAATTTTTCTTGACTCTTTCGTGATTGCATTTACATATGCTCTTCCTGTGTTTTGTATTGTCTCATCCATATACATGAAGTACAGTCGTCTACTTGAGGAATCGTAAGCTAGTTCTTTAGGTGCTTCGTATTCATTTGTTAATAATTCCTTTTTGTAATACCTTGATCCAATTTTCTGTATTGAATCATCAGTAGAATAAACTTGTAACTTGGCCTCAACCGATAAAATTATCGCAAACAATAATAAATATTTTCTATAAGTTATCATTTTGTTTATTTTCTCAAAACGTTTATAAGGTGCTGGGGCGTTTTATATACTAACAGTTAAATATCATCAATAACTTATAATTAAAAAATGAAGCCAAGTTTTCTGTAAAAAGTCGTCAAGGTTAAATCTCATGCGGTGCACGTCCACTAGGGACATCAAGTAATTTTTCAACATGGTTAGGGCTCTGTCACTCGCTCAAGGTATAAGTACCTATACCGCTGAGTGTACCGACGTCGGCACAAGCGCTCATACAAGTCTTTCATTTATGAGTATTCGGCACCGCACGACTGCATACAGCGGGCAACGTTATTTTCACCTCTCTGAGCGCGTGCTTAGGTTGCTTTTTCCTCGTAGTGAGCTCCTGATTTAATTAGTCAGATTTAGTAGGCTGTTATAACGTAGGTTGTTTTTTTTTAATTTTGTTGTTACTTTGATCTGTTCACTTTATATATACTGAATACATTATACAACATGGAAACCTCTTTACAATCACAATTTACTCCTACAGCTGTAATTATATTCACACTCGCTCGTGCACTTACATATCAAATAGGTTATTTTAGAGGCACTATTTACACTTTACTATATATTGTTTTATTATCTCAATGTATAACTTTACGCATAGTACGTCATATTTTTGCTTTCAAATTACTTAATCCCTCTTGATGGTTCTGACTGAAAACCAGCGCCTTAGCAAACTTTGGCATTTGTTGAGTCAACGCCGTTTCACTGCCATGACAATCATGTGATGTTTTTTCTTTTATGCTTATTCTGTATATGTGTTATATCAGTGAATAAAGGTTTGTCTATCTATCTATCTAGGTATTTTCGATTTCGTATGAGAGTGATATATCGGTCACGTAGTACTTATTAAGTAATCAATGACTTGGTGTTGTACAAGGGGTCCTAGAGTGTACAGCAGAGAACAATGCTTTTATATACACACATCAAAAGTGTATAGGGACTAAACATATCTTTGCTAATTGCTGAAAATCAGATTTTTTTTTATTATTATTTTTTAATGCCAGTGGTTTTTTATCAATTTCATAATTTAAAAACCTAATTAAGTAATTAATAATTTATAAAGATATTTTTATTTAATTTTATTAGGGTTATCAAATATTTTCAAAAAATACCTTGATCTCTACACAATTTTGATGCGTGTGTTTCTTCTTTTCTTTTACCCTCTTAAAGAGAATAAAATTGTAGAGCCACCACATTGACTTACAAATAAATGGACGACGGGTCTAATAAAAAAACCACGAAAAAAATGTCCCAAGTCACCCTATTTAAACGTAGTGACATGTAAAGGAATATGAAAAAGCTAAAACGTTGAATTTAAATTGTAATGTCATCGCAGTACTGTCTAATTTTGCTTGCTTCGCTGTCAGTCGAACAAGCGAAGACTAAAGCGTGAATGACGCTCTGTATACGATTTGAACGCCCTATAAGTTCGGACACTTTTTAGCGCGGACCCGATGTCCATATAATTGTAAGTCAATGAGCCACCAGCTTGTATTTTTCAGTTTGATTTTGGTAATTTTCAGATTAGTAGCAATTTTTATTATTTAAGTACCTATTAGAGTGAATTGTCGTGAAATATAAAGTCATAATATTGTGTTAAATAATATTTCATAATTATATCTACATTATTTAAATATTAGAATAGTGGAATTGCCACCGAAATTAGAGAATATTAAACTATAAATTACTTTTATATCTTAAGCAACAGCTGCTGAACTTGGCGCTAGCGCCACCAAACATACATTGACGCTAGCTTTGACGTAATCAATATTACAAATATCGATACCTCCAATGAACACTACGCCATCTTTATTTTTTGGTCGTCTTGTGTTATTTTTGTAAACAGCCATATTTATTTGCCTTAGTAAATAAATATGGCGGTTTAATATAAATATAATCTTAGTTGTGCTCCCCGAATTCTGTGAAAAAAAGAAACAAGAACAAAAAAAAAACTAATTTTGTAAGAAAAAAGAAACAAAAAACAAAATAAAAACAGAACAGGTCCAAAAATTAAGTTGGCTTAGTGTTCATTGGAGGTATCGAATATATAATATCTATCTGTCTATATATCTATATTTAATATAATAGTACAAATTTTAAACATACTTTTGCCCTAGCGGACATTGTAATTAGGTTTATGCGTTATTTATTACATGTAAATGTGTTTTGGTACTGAGTATTTATTGTATTTTATCATTACATTCTGTCGAATGGGAAAACCGTCCGTGATACTGAATAATGATTAGGCAACTTTTATATTTGGCCCTTGACTCTTATGTGTACTATGGATAATGTCTAAAATTGAACACTACTGTCGTCGTCGACTTCTAAAAAAGAGAAGGTTTAATTCAATTGCATTTTTTTGCGCTTTGGGAATCGATTTAGATGATGTTTTTTGTTAGAAAGCGGGTACTTCAGTACTTCATGATAATTTTCACGTTAATTTATCTTGATAAATACACCTTGATATTTATAAAATTCATTGATAAATATACCATGATAATTATATTATAATTTATAAGATTAATTGGAACAAAAAAAATGCTACCGCTACCCATTTGTGTGCCATGTATTTGTATCAGACGTATCCAAACGTATCAATTAATGTCGTAGCCAAAAAAAGTCACAAACCGAATCCTTTTCTCAAAGATTTATCTTCGTGTTTATTTGTTTTCTCACTGTTTGTTATGTTTAGTCAAAAATTAAAACTGAACTAAAACTAAACTATGAATCAGTATGGATAATGTATCATGATAATTTCGAGTCCTTAGGTTTTCGCGATTGTCACACGTAGGAAATTAAACTCTTATTTTCCCTTCCTATTTGTAACAATCACGATTGTTATTATCTACTTTAAATTCTATTAATATTAGACATAACTGGTTCACGATTTCACCATCTCAATCAACCGTGACCATGGGATCTGTAAAGGGCCTAAAACTTTGGATTGTTTGAAGAAACCAATTACGCGATTTGGCTTCGATAAAAAGTTTCATTTCCTATGTGTAACAATCGCGATAAGCTAAGAACTCGAAATCATCGTGAGAATTATCCATGCTGATTCATGATAATTATAATTATCAAAGAAAATAAATATCTTGATAATTTTTAACCTTGTACATCAAAATCTAATAAGTTAAGTTGTTTACCTTTAGTAGGTTTTATTAGGCAATAAATATACATACAATACACACGAAAAGCATTACGCAACTTGGACGCATTATATTATATTACCCTACTGTGTCTCGGGGTGACGGGCGCAGTGGGAGTGACCTTTGAGCTGCACTGCAACTGTGAGGGCGCGTTCCCAACATGTCGGGACGACAGATAGTCGTGCAATTTAGAGTGTCGTGACTTGTTTATTTAAATGAAGTTGTTCACACAATGAACAACACGATTAACTCTCGTTCACGACTTTTCTGTCATTATGACGACAGATTGTCGTCACATTGGGAAAAACTAGAACGACAGTCGTCAACGATAAATAAAACGGCACCCAAAAATTTGACGACAGATAATCGCAGTTTCAAACGATTCTGTCGTGCAAACGATAAGGCGTCTGCCGTGAACCTATAAATTGGACGTAGTTAAAGAAAAAGGATCCAATGTACATCCAAGTCACTTTCGAGATATGACAGTTTGAATTTGAAAAATGTTTCTAACTCTTGTTTTATTTTCAAAACTTATAATGTCATTGAACTCCAGAAATATTTATTTATGTTTATAGGTTGGATTTTTTTTGCTGATCTAATAGGTTAGACTCTAGGAACCGTTTGATACATATAACTCATTTTTTGATAATTTTGTGGATAGGGTCCTTTTTGCTTAACTACGTCCAATTGTCGTCACGATCTAGTGGGAATACGACATAAACGATTGTCGCGATATGGGAACAGGCTAGACGCGACAGTCGTCTAACGGCAAATAAAACGTTACGACATAATGGAAATGCGCCCTTATGGACGGGCATGTTGCTTACCCTTGCTCGTCCCGTTACTTGGTATGATAAAAAAGGCAATGGGGTAGTAAATATGATTTCTGCACTTGTCAATGTTGACTTGGACGATTTTTCATTTACATAGTAGTGGACATTATTTGTTATTCCGATAATATCGGTGAAATTCTTGACCTAACCCAGCGATGATAACCTTAGGCTAAAAACGTGATAAATATAGGCACAGAGAAGATTAGAGACTTATTTATTCTAAAAGATTTAATTAAATTTATTATTACAATGTTTTTAGCAAAAACAAATCAAACATAGGCATTATAAACTAGACGAGTAGAATATCTGGCAATTCTTACTGAAAAGTCTGCCACCCAGTGGAGGCAGAATGAAATTGCTTGAATATTAATACCAAAGTCCATTAGAATGAATGAAAGAAGATTAACGGGTTACCTATCCGTAGTCCGAAATGACATTTTACAGAAATAACGTTTGGTCGAAATTTCATAACCTCGAAAGTCATTTTGAGAAGAAAACCCCGCACTTAGGTGTGTGGCGAATTATGGCTATGGCACATTTTAACGTGACATTTAAATGTTTTGATGATGAAAAATGTCATGATATGCAATAAAATAAATATAGTAACAATATTATCTATTATAATTTTGGAAGCACAGACTGGCACAGACAAATAATACTTTGACAGTTATTTGAATAACTGTCGCATCTACCATACAGCGGCCAGGATGTTCCCATTGAAACCAAGCAGGTTTAACACCCCCCCGCAATGTGAACATCCTGTTGACAATAACAAAGTGAACACCCTATTATAATTTTGGAAGCACAGACTGGCACAGACAAATAATACTTTGACAGTTATTTGAATAACTGTCGCATCTACCATACAGCGGCCAGGATATTCCCATTGAAACCAAGCAGGTTTAACATTATCAAATAAGGTCCTTACTGTATGCGATCCAGTTGTCTCATTTTTTCGGATCAAACTCAACAGTGCTTTATGTTGTTCCAGCCCAAAGCCTATGAGTTTGGCTACTCAGTGAAAGACGCCCAATCTGGTAACGATTACGACCGGCATGAGACCTCTGATGGTAACGTCGTAAAGGGAGAGTACAGAGTGCAGTTGCCTGACGGACGCACTCAGATTGGTACGTATTTCTACTCGTTTGTACTCAGCTTGTACCTGTGTACTTAATTCCTACTCTGCTCGTACGAGTAGTACATTGAGTATGTCATTTCGTAATTTAACCCAAATACGTTGTATGCGCATTGTCGCGTTTAAATTTTATATGTACAATTACGTGTACTTTTAGTACTTATTGTACTTCGGACAGGACAAATGAATAATGTACTCAGGGAAACATAGAAATCCCATGAAATATATATTACTACAAACATTCTACATTTATATACATTGGGTACGAGCCCCAATACTGCTTGTACTTGTTTGTCCTCAAACCAAAGATCTTCGGTCGTAGTTTGTACTCAACTTGTATCAACTCGGTTTGTTCTTTGCTCTTACCTATTCAGTCTTTAGTCAGTTGACTTTGCATTATGTTTGATAACAATTAATATTAGAGTTCAGTTCATGTAATTGGAAGAGTACACACACTTTATAGTTTGCACTCAATTTGTATGTACTCTGTTTCACTTGGCATTTTCACATTAACCCTTGTTCGTATTTAGTTTATACCGCATGACATCAAATAATATCTACTTTCTCGCATTTAGTGTACTAAAGAGTTATCTATCAATAGTCCGAAATGACAATTTCCAGAAATAACGTTTGATCGAAATTTCATAACCTCGAATGTAATTTTGAGAGGAAAATGTTTTTTCTTTTAAACCTAACTTAACCTAACCGAACCTAATCGTGTCTTTGCGATAAACATTCAACATATCCTGAAAGAACAACTGTTTTGTTTTAATACGGTTTTCGGTGTAATGAAAATTGGAACATACGTTATTTCAGACAAAAAAAACTTCGACTTTGTGATAGATTACCGTACTAAAGAAAACCACGCGCATCCTAGATTAAAATTTTTGTTCGCAATTTTCAGTGACTTACCATGCGGACTGGAAGACCGGTTTTCATGCTGATGTGAGATACGAGGGCGAAGCGAGATATCCTGAACCCATCCAGAACAACTACCAGGGTAAATCACCTAAATACGTCGCATTACAATTCATATTCGTCTAAATAACAATAGAGCTCCTTGTGAATGAGTTCGTCCAGAGAAGTACTGCCACCTTAAATATTTCTGCCGCCAAGCAGTTATATGAGCATTACTGAGTCTCAGTTTTGAAGAGTAAGGCTGTCAGTGTGACGGGCGCAATGGCATTGCCTGATCTTTGCAATTTAAAGTTCTGAGTGGCACTGCAACTGTCGCGAACAGGCATATCGCTTACCACCAGACGCACGACTTGTTCGTAGCGTCAGTTAGTGTTATAAAAAAAATGTCTCGTGTGAGAGGAACCTATAGGCCAACAGCGTGAAAGCAAAAGACTGCCTGCCTACAGTGTTTGAGTAACGTCGTAAGTGATATTTTAATTAGCAAAAATACGTCGTTATTTTTTTGAAACTCATTATTGTTCTATATACAGTAATATAATACTCATTATAGTTCTGTGTACAATGTATAGTAACATTGAGTTGTATTCGAATAGATGAGACAACGGAGTCAGTAAAATAAGGACTTTATTTGATAATACAGTACTGCCGCTCAATTAGGAAAACGTAGAGCATTTGAGTACCGTCATAATTGATAGTTTAATTAGGAAAAATACGACGTTATTCATACAAATATACGCGTTTTTTCAAACAAATATACGCGATTTAAATCCGGAAAAATAGATTCCATTTCCTATGTGTAACAATCGCGAAAACCTAAGAACTCGATACGACGTTATTTTTTTAAAGTCATTATAGTTTTTTGAAAGTTATTGTACAGCACTATAATGAAATTTTCAGTTCAGTACCGATTATTATTATAATTATAATTGACAGCACAGAACAATAAATATCGTGGAAGTGGTTAGTTGGCGTCGTACGCGTGCCAATTATAGGTCTGGAAAGACCTATTTGAGCTCAGTGCGCCATTTTCGCTTTGCATGGTATGGTTGTGTTGTTCTTTCGTGCAAATTCTCTAATATCGTAGAAAATTATAGCCGCAGCAAAAATATTATCCGTGATGGTATTTTTCTAACAAATTTTCTATTTTAGAAATATTTTCTGTAACGAAAGTAAAGCTTATACCCCTGCAATATGGTCGTTTCTTTTTTGAAGAACTAAATTAATAACTCCAATTCGTGTCGTTCAGCAATTAACCGCTAGATGTCAGCACATTGATTGAAATTTCAATATATCAAAACGTCGTTACTTGCTATAATATGTATTGATGGTATTCAACTTTCAACGATATGCCAACAGGGTAAAGTTTAAATTACATTAACAATCCAGAATTTGTTATTTCTTTTTAAATTTGAAACTACGACCAATCAATATCAAGGTTCTGTAGTGTTTGAAATAAAGAATGTGTGAGTTTTGGCGACATCGGTTCTGATAGTAATCGAGGCTTAAAGCACTTCCATTGTTTTTTCTTCCATGATTGACAGATTAAAGTACAGGAGTAGAAAGAGAACATTTCATTCATTCATTTGTTCTTTATTATAGCTGTTTTATAAAAATTCCAGGTGGCTACAATTACAATACGCCAACTGACTACCAGGGCTCTCTCACCGGCTTCCAAGGACGACCTTCAACGTCATACGGACCTCCAGGGTACCACTGATCGATTATTAGATAAAAGAAATAATGAGAGCTGTACAATATTCTAAATAAAATAGACGAAAAACACTTACCCGGTTCTCAAAGTTACGAATTCCTTGTACCATGAGCATCAGACTAACAAATCCAAGAAAAGATCAAACCAGAAACCTTTTTTGTATTTTGTAGTATAACACCGGTGCCAATGATTTTCTATTTTGCCGTAAGATGGCGCTGTAACAAATTACCACTAGGTACAAATAAACTAATGTAAAAAGTTATTATTAAACCTCTATTTGTTAATATGTATTGTCACTTGGTTTATCAATAAATCGCATAGCAATCGCACATGAAAAACATGATGGAATTGAGGAAACATGATTTAAATATTTTAAAAAAACCTGATTCTTATTGCGGATAATGGGATTATTTTTATTCTTACATAATAATTAGTTGTCTACTTTTAAAAGTGAATATAAATTTATTGGTTCCATTCAGTAATTTATTAAACTTTTAAACCGTGTTTTCTGAATGAAATATTTTTTTTTAGTTACAACAGTATATTTGGTTTCATGTGCGTAGCTTGCCTTAACATCGTCGATGGCGATGATTTTCTATTTTGCCGTAAGATGGCGTTGTAACACATTCCCACTAGCTAGTAAACTGATAATGTAAAAAGTTACTATATAATCAAGTTTCAACTTTAGTCGTAATCAATTTCGATACAATCGAACATTGAGAAGTGTTTTAAATTTACCTCATGCAATAATAAAACAAGTATAATGAGTTCTCATTGTTATGCTTGTTAGAATATTGTACACTAACAGCGATAAATAACTGAAATTTTCGAATAGTCAGAGACTATTACGCTGCTGCCATTGTGTACAACATTTGTTTAACAATGTAATTATATGCCAATGGAAAATGTAGACAAATATAATGTATAACAATCTGACAAATTAGTTTATAAGTATGATTTTTGTACCAGTATTAATTTTTAAAGAAAATATAAAATTAAATTAATTAAAAAACAATACTTTTGTTTATATTTCCCCTTAAAACTCCGAATAGACATGACCAATAACTCGAGAAGACTGCTGAACATTTTCATCACCACATTTTCTTTCCCCGTTATCCGTTTTTTATTCAACAAACGAGTCTAGAGACGTCTTCGTTCATTTTCAATGTCGAATAGATAAACGAAAATTGTATGTTTTTCAAAATCGGTCCACTATTGACGGAGAAATCGATGAATATATATAAAACATACATACAGCCGAACGTATAACCTCCTCCTTTTTTTTGAAGTTGATTAAAAGGGGACAAAACCACCTTCTTCAAAATGCAGATTCCATCACGATATTTTCTTTCACTATTAGTAGTTTTTTAATTAACAAACGAGTCTACAGACATCTTCGTTCATTTTCAATGTCGAATAGATAAACGTAAATTGTATTATCTTCACTTCGACGTTTTGCTTCTGAAGATTTACACGTGGTAAGTGACTTCTTATACATAATGTTCTTTTGGTTTTATTTTACTATGTCTCACTTTTTAGGAAGAGAGATAATAACCAGTTCAGGTAAGTTGAAACAAAGGTGACGGATGGATTATATGAAGTTACAAGATGTGTATTTAGTGCTCATCATCGTCAACATTATCATCATGGTCAGTCAACATCAACCCACTGCTGGATATAGGTTTAATGCTCCAAATCTTACGGTACTGCGCCACACGCGTCCCGCAAATCTGGCGAGATCGTCAAACCATTGGGCCAGTTGTCTACCCATTTGGTCCATCATTCGTGGTCTCATCTAGCTAAATCTACCGCCCAATGTAGCCTCATAATGCGATTATCTACGTCCTCGATCTTCGTTTTTCGTCAAAGACGGACGGCGAAAGCTGTCCCAAAATCAACGAAAAGCTATTCATGGACTTTGCTAGTATAATTTTACGTTTTAGTTCATGTCTAGTAGTTAATATATTTTTGTATATTTTTAGAAGTCGAAAATAAAAAAATTACAAAACAATGTATTTTAAAATAGATGCAAGAACACAACGCAATTGATTCATTCGACCATAGATTAGGGAATGTTCTTGTACGTTCGTTTCATTTTAAAGCATGATTGAATGTTTACCTACTTAAAGTATTGGTTATTTTATAATACACACAAAACATTACAGCTATAAAATACCCAATGAAATAATCAATTAACAATAATGACTCAAAGAAAAAAATAAAACGCAATATGTCAAACATGTTAAGACAATATTTTTAAAAGAGAGATACGAAAATTAGCAAAGGAACGTTTTGACAAGAGGCCTCTTGCCGATGTCAATGTCACTTTGAGATTGAGAACAGTGTAACCATTTGTGACAGATTTCTGCCATTTGGGCAGATTTTATTAATTTTCATTGCGACAGAACATGTTAATGTTATATTAAATGTGGCAGTGTTTGGCAGATTTAGGAATATTCTCCAAGTTCTTTATTATTTTTAGGAACAAACTGAAAACATATTGTTTTCTGCTACTACAAACAAACATCTGAAGCGAAGTACAGGACAATGTTATAAACATAACCTATATCAATTTTATAACCGCAGCTTCTACAGGCTGTACTCAATTAGCTTTTTGATGCTATTATAATGAATCACAAGTATTGATGGGACTCTTTAATGCACGTCACAAAATACACGGGATATCGCCATCCGTATTTTACGGTCCTGCGCCATCCGCCGTCAATTCCGCAAATCTGTCGATATCGTCAAACCATTGGGCAGGTGGTCTACCCATTTGGTCCATCGTTCGTGGTCTGGCCTAACCAAATGGACCGCCCACTTTAGCCTCATGTTGCGATTATCTACGTCATCGATCTTCGTTTTTCGTCAAGTTTCGACTTTTGGTACCCGAATGCACTAAGTCCAAGTGAAACTTTCAGACGTCGAAACCGCTAGATTGGTTTACTTTAGCTACTTTCACAGTCTAATGGGATACGGCATTTTGCTTTGGGGTAATGCCGCCGATATCAATATTATCTTTGTCCTGCAGAAACGTGCAGTTAGGGCAATTTACAATCTGGGCCCCAAAGTATCTTTGAGAGATAAGTTTAAGGAAATTAACATTCTTACACTAGCCTCACAGTACATTTATGAAAACGTAATTTATGTTAAAAGGAATAGTAATTTCTTTATAAAAAATATTGACAGACATAACATGAATACGAGGAATAAAAATAAACTAGCTTTTCTTGATAGTCGTCTTCACAAAGTCAAAAAATCATTTAAGGGGCAATGTATACGCTTCTATAACAAGATTCCGGTTGATATACAAAATTTGCCTTTCACGAGGTTTAAAATCATAGTGAAACAAAAACTTTATACTAAAGGTTATTATACTTCTGCGTACTTGGATGACAAAAATCCGTGGTAGTAACCCGTTTAACTCATGGAGGTAGTCTCGATCTCTGATGTTTCAGATAAAAAAAAATATTGTAAATGTTATTTACAAAGAGCAACCCCTAGAGTTTCTTGCTCATTCTTCTCAGGGGATTCTGCCTTACGAATGAGCGGTAGAGTTTAACCATTGTGACGATTTCAAGTGTAATAATCCTTACCTATGAAATAAAGATTATTTTTTATTTGAATTTGAATTTAAAAATTGTATGTTTCTTCTTATCGTATCGATGACACACTGTAATGCTTACCATCATGGTGAAAGATTTACCAATTGGCGTAAGGTACTCACCGATTGTTGCCCAGGTTGCACCAAATTGTATTAAATGAACATTATGAAGCGTACCACTACATTTATACACATAATACGAGAAAATGTGATGAAAAATTACAAGCCATCTAAGTCACATTACACAATCACATTTGACATGTTCACCGAGCTATTGACTCAGTGTGGACCTGTCATCCTTTGTCCAAACGAAGCCATTGGTGATGCTACTTGCCTTAGGCTACCAGATTTCTTTATATCATTAAGGGTTTTTAATTGTGCCTAAATACTAAATTAAATCCGATTTATTAATGAATATCTTCATGCTAAAGTAAAAATGACCAAAATCGTTTAGCGAAAATCCGTTCCATGATTTCAGATTCAAAAATGAAGTTGCTGTTATTACTAGGCGCCTTTGTTCTCGTCAGGACAACGCCTGTTCCTAAAACTTGCACTGGAGTCAGAATCACCAATTCACCTGTGCTATACGAACGGGAAGTCCTGAAAACTGGAGTAGACAGACCATATATGCTTGTCGTAGATTATAGCTCAAATATTCTTTACTTTAGCTATAGTACTGAAGGAGAAAAAGATTCATTTCAGGCAGCTAGCATAGACCTTAAAGATAAAGAATTTAAAAATATTACCTGTGTACCTAATGGATTTGCTCAAGCCGTTGATAGTACAAACAATGAAGTATATATAGGTGGTGACGGTATATATAAATATGATCCTAAAAAAGACACTGCAGAACTGTATGCAGCTAAAGATGCTAATATATGGTTGTTATATTTCCATGATGACTTGTATTACGCGGAGTACCCCTCACAATTTCTCTATGTAGTTCACAACAGTGGAGCTGTTAGAGCAAAGGATTTAGAAGACACTAAAGTAGACATGTTTGTAATTGATAATGATAATGATATATTTTACAGTAATGACACTGGTATATACTGTCAGAAAAAAGGTACAAAAGATGCTCAATTGTACAAAGAGTTCGATGATGCAAGTGCAAGAGGTTTAACCACTGATAAAAATGGTAAAGTACATGCTTGTATGGTTGATGGTATTTATGTTGTTAATAAAGATGCGAAGAGGTTTGATAAAATCGTAGAAATTGATGACGCTTTTGGTGTAGCGTTTGATAGGAATAATAATATTGTATATAGCGACGCCATTGGTGTATACATGTTAAAACCCAATGAGAATTTGACTTGCTAATTGAATTGTAAAGTTGAATTAAATTGAGAAGTTTCAAAGCGCTTACATTCGAACTCAAAGGTCAATAAACTGTAGATATGGGAATGTGTTAAGAGAAATAAATCATATTAAAGTCACACATATTATTATTTGCTGTTTTCATTAAATACCCAATATCATAGAATAAACCCTTGGATTAGTAGACCAGTCAAATCAACTCACAAAGGTCGTGCAGCTCTAAAAGTTCAATACATTGTTAGGGATGTAAAATAAATTCAAGTTTCCGACCTTTGGGCAAAGAATAAAAAAGTAACAAAAGAGGTAATTAAACGGTCTCCGCCCCTCCCTAGCTTTTGATACCACCCCGGCCCCTCATATTGAAGGCCACATTGATGGATCGGCAAAAAGGCAGCGAGGCGTTTGAATCAGATACATCATTCTTACAAATTTATACGTTATTGTTTATGATGGATATAACAGAATAACAACAAATAAATATAAATAAGAACAAATCGCTTGTTTTCGCAACACAAGTATGATTTGTCTATCTACCGCTTTACCCCACACGAAAATCCCGTAGGACATTATACTCTGGAAGTTTTCGTTCGTTCTGTGTACCGTTTAGGTTCTTGAGTTTCTCTCAGAGAAAAGTATAAGGAAACTGGTATCATGACTTTAGCACCACATTACATTTGCTCATATATATATTTTATATGCCCGTAAAAATATATATAGGTAATTTCAATAAGAAAGAAGATATCCATAATATTCACCTTAGAGCTAAGTCCAAATTCATGGTACCACGATTTCATTTAACCAAGGTAAACGACTCTTTTATGGGAAACTGTATACGTTTTTACAATAGAATTTCGGGGCATATATTAAGATTATAATTTCCTAAGTTCAACAAACTTATATTAAACGTACTTATTTTAATTGAAAAGTTATATTACAAAATTGAAGACTACGTGTTAGATAAATGTATGATAAAGATGTATGGAAATACGACATCGCTCTAGATTCCACACAAATTTGAGTCAAAGTGTGTTTCACAGCATTTAAGTTTATTTGTAAAGAGCAATCTCTAGACTTGCTTGCTCGTTATTCTCGGGGAAGTTAACGTAGTGAACGAGCAGTAGCTAAAATGTGACGTTTTCAAGTTTCAAGTGTAAATTTAATTTACCTATGGAATAAATGATTCTTTGACTTTGACTTAAATTGATTTAGTTAACTTAGCGCTTGTTTAATTAATAAGTTATTATAAAAATTTGTAAAAAAAAGTGCGAAATCTGTAAATATTAAGCAAACAAAAAATGGCATAAACAAAAAACAAAGAGAGAAAACCTGTAAGTATAATGTACATAATAAACCAATGAAATCAATCAATCAAAGAACTTTTAAACGCCTGTAACTTACATTTGTAATTTGATACAGATTTCGTAAATTAAATTAGACCACTACAGTCAGTCCTAAGCCTGTTAAAGTATGAAGGGAAGCGCATTGATTTATCTTATTTTTTTTTTAAATTCTTTTTATTCAAATACATTTGAAAGGCGTGCTTTTGTGCTTCAGCACAACTGCAGTGTTGAACCATGGACGAGCTTGGGGACCCCAAGCTCATCCATGGGGTACATCGGAGTATGGTATGTAATACTCCATACCCAAACGCAAGACCTCGACTACAGCATCAAGCACAGCTCGACGAATGTTCTGAAGTAAAGCAAACCTGGCAAGGATATGACGCTAAGAAATGGTTTTCACACCCGTCTCATACCACTAAGGCCCTGGTCGGGTGGGGAGTACACGGATACAGTTTTCACCAGACAAATGGTCGGAAGTACCCAGTGTATCCACAACCACAGAGTATCGGTCCGGATCAGTTGCCAGCAGAAGGTCCAAGCCGTATGAGATTCAACATCTATTTTTTATTTATAGTTACAAAATAAATTAAGTCGGTGGTAACTAACCATAAAAAACTGTAGCCTATTCATAGGTAAACCATTTCTTGCCATTCGTTACAGTGTAACACACGACCTTGAACTGCTATAATTTTAACGCTGTATAGGTATACAGCGCTACCGCGCGCTATGCGAATAACTAACCAAGCGAGCGGTAGGTAGAGGTGGATGTATAAACGAAAAGCACTTAAAAAATAAGCTTTTAAATTTAAGCGTAAGCGTTAACAACGTGCTTATGATTTAAGTCCCGCCATCTATGTTTTCTGAACAAATTAATTCACTTCAATAATATGTTTTTAGATAAAAATAAGACTCGTGTTTTACAAATAAACTTACTTATCTTTAAATTTTTATAATACTAAGTGACAGGACGAACAAGTCGTCTGTCTGGTGGTAAGCGACACGCCTGTCCCTAACGATTGCAGTGCCACTCAGAGCTTTAAATCACAAAGATCTATGGGCCACTGCCACTGCGCCCGACACCCTGAGGTATAAGTTGACAAGTCACATGCCTGCCTCTTGCTTGTCGCTATTGAACACAAAGTTACAAGCTTTTTTTAACATAAAAGTCTATGCCCTTAAACGTTTTTGTTCAAAGTAAAAGCACAACGTTTTAACGTT